AGTGTTATTTATAAACACTGTCAGACTGCTTTTTTTTTTTTTTTTTACAGCTGAAAGTGACTGACCTTCCCAATTTGAAGTAGTAATCTGGCTTTGATTAATCAGAGCCAAATTGCTGTGTACTGGGAGGGGGGAGCAAGGCAGAAGGACTGGATGTGCTACACACGTCCTCTGTACTGTGATGACCTTTTTGTTGGGAGTGTGCAGAATGCCCAAGATCTGGAACTAGTTAAAACACTTTTTCCTTGGTAAATGTCAGAGCCTGCAAAGACACTGCTCCTCGCCAAATGGAATTTGTTGATTTTATTCTATTTTTTTTGCATTGGTGCAGTTTCCCCAGGGTAGTGCCCACCCCATGCTTATTAGCCCTGGAATGGGCATTTTTAATTTGACAGATTTGTGCAGGTAAAAAATGTGCATTTATTATTTTTGTTTGCAGGAACCTGTAAGGAATTGCACCAGCCATCAGCAGATCGCTGATACCATGCAGAGCTCCTGCTAATCTGTGAGTATATCTGCTTGCCCGTGTGGGATGTACGAGATGTACGAGCAAGCAGATAAACTGACAGGAAGAATCAGTGGTGTATTTTAGTTTTGTGCTACCCTAGGCAAGACTAAAATTGAGTGCCCCCCATCTTAATTTGGCCCACCCCTTCCTGTTTGAGGTTCACACCTTCATCTGTAAACTCCGCCCCTTCCTCTTTAGGCTACAGCTGTACTCCTAGATAGCACCAAACCCCCTGTACTCTTACATAACACCACCACCCTATACCCCCTGTACTCCTAGATAACACCAGACCCCCTTATACCCCCTGTACTCCTAGATAACACCAGACCCCCTGTACTCTTACATAACACCAGACCCCCCTATACCCCCTGTACTCCTAGATAACACCAGACCCCTTATACCCCCTGTACTCCTAGATAACACCAAACCCCCTGTACTCTTACATAACACCAGACCACCCTATACCCCCTGTACTCCTAGATAACACCAGACCCCTTATACCCCCTGTACTCCTAGATAACACCAGACCCCTGTACCCCCTGTACTCTTACATAACACCAGACCACCCTATACCCCCTGTACTCCTAGATAGCATCAGACCCCCTATACCCCTGTACGCCTAGATAGCACCAGACCCCTTATACCCCCTGTACTCCTAGATAACACCAGACCCCCTGTACCCCCTGTACTCTTACATAACACCAGACCACCCTATACCCCCTGTACTCCTAGATAGCATCAGACCCCCTGTACTCCTAGATAGCATCAGACCCCCTATACCCCCTGTACGCCTAGATAGCACCAGACCCCCTGTACTCCTAGATAACACTAGACCCCCTATACCCCCTGTATGCCTAGATAACACCAGACACCCTGTACTCCTAGATAACACTAGACCCCCTATACCCCCTGTACTCCTAGATAGCACCAAACCCCCTGTACTCCTAGATAGCACCAAACCCCCTATACCCCCTGTACTCTTACATAACACCAGACCACCATATACCCCCTGTACTCCTAGATAACACCAGACCCCCTGTACTCCTAGATAGCACCAGACCCCCTATACCCCCTGTACTTTTACATAACACCAGACCACCCTATACCCCCTGTATGCCTAGATAACACCAGACCCCCTGTACTCCTAGATAGCATCAGACCCCCTATACCCCCTATACGCCTAGATAGCACCAGACCCCCTGTACTCCTAGATAACACTAGACCCCCTATACCCCCTGTATGCCTAGATAACACCAGACACCCTGTACTCCTAATAATACTATACCCCCTATACTTCTAGATTGCACCAGACCCCCTATACCCCCTGTACTCCTAGATAACACTAGACCCCCTATACCCCCTGTATGCCTAGATAACACCAGACACCCTGTACTCCTAGATAACACTATACCCCCTATACGTCTAGATTGCAGCAGACCCCCTATATCCCCGTACTCCTAGATAACACTAGACCCCCCTATACCCCCCCTGTTTGCATAGATAACACCAGACCCCCTGTACTCCTAGATAGATAACACCAGACCCCCCTGTACTCCTAGATAACACCAGACCCCCCTGTACTCCTAGATAACACCAGACCCCCTATACCCCCTGTACTCCTAGATAACACCAGACCCCCTATACCCCCTGTACTCCTAGATAACACCAGACCCCCTATACCCCCTGTACTCTTAGATAACACCATACCCCCTGTATTGCTAGATAACACCAGACCCCCTATACCCCCTGTGCTCCTAGATAGCACCAGACCCCCTATACCCCCTGTACTCCTAGATAACACCAGACCCCCTATACCCCCTGTACTCCTAGATAACACCAGACCCTTTATACCCCCTGTACTCTTAGATAACACCAGACCCCCTATACCCCCCGTACTCCTAGATAACACCAGACCCCCTATACCCCCTGTACTCCTAGATAACACCAGACCCCCTATACCCCCTGTACTCCTAGATAACACCAGACCCCCTATACCCCCCTGTACTCCTAGATAACACCAGACCCCCCTATACCTCCTGTACTCCTAGATAGCACCAGACCCCCCTATACCCCCTGTACTCCTAGATAACACCAGACCCCCCTATACCCCCTTTACTTGACAGCTAGCGAGGGGGGGGGAGCTCCTGCGATAGCTGTCAAAGCAGGTAGTGGCAGTCTGTCTGATTGTACCATGTTACAAAAGGTGAACTTATCCTTTAATCCTGTCAGCCAGCAAAGGCACCCTATCATCTATCACCTGTCATTGTATGTATATAATGTCATAATGTATATTTTAAAAAGCAGGAGGCTAAGAGGTTGTACAGTGTATATGTAAAATAATATATATGGAGCCAAGCTGTGGCTCAAGGTAAGTGCTGCTATGTTACATACCTTTCACGAAATTCTCTGACATTCCAGCTTCCTCCTCTCCTTCCCTTTATACCCCTCTCTGGCTGGGGCTGGGTCACATCATATGCCTAATGTATTTCATTTGCCTTATTGTCGACACATTGTTTATTCATTTTCTGTTTAATGTTCAGAATTATTTGCGAAGTCATATATGAATCGGGGAAGTTATTCAGTGCTGACATAAATGACATTACATATACAAACATCTGGAATTTGCCAGCTTCCTCCTTTCCTTCCCTTTCTATCCCCCTCTGGCTGAGGCTGGGTCACACGTCGTTTGGTTAAGGTCGCATATTTCCTTCATCGTTGGCACATTGTTTATTCATTTTCCATCTTAAAGGAAAAGACCAAGAAGTTTGGCTAAGTTTGAGCTGGAGAACTTGGCTCGGTATTAACATAAAAGATTAACGAGTACAAACATTTGCAGACTGCCATGATAATGGTTATGAATGATCTATCAGAAATATATACAAATTGTTGTCATCCCAAATGCCAATAAAAACTCATTGTTACTGCATTTGCCAAGGTTGTGAGCATAGATTTCATAGGAGGTATTTTATTGAAGTGGAGCTCCATCTAAAGCTTTAATTTTTGGATATAAATAAAGAATCCTCCTGTGAGACTTCAATGCAGCAACCATATCATTACACATGTACTCAAAAAAATATTTTTAAAAAGATATACTTTATTACATGGATGTATATGTGACATATACATTATCTTTAAAAACATTGGCTCTGATAGATATTGCAAGGATATTCCTTCACATTATAATGAAATCCCCAAAAGTTCCACCAACGCGTTTCGATCATTCCACTTATTGATCTTCTTCAGGGGGTATGAATGCAAGGAGAATTTAGCCCCTTCACGCCGGCATCACACAAATATGCAGCCTCACAGAACTGGGCTTTTTTCCGTGGGGCTGCATATTTGCTTACCTGTCTTTCTGCTTGGAGCGTGCCGCGCCATCTTTGTTTTTTAAAAAATACCATGCTGTTTGAGGGCGTTTGAAGCCCTTTTCCCTTGTTAGTGTATTTCTTGCATTTTTTATGGCTTTTTTAATGAAATTAACTCTACTGCACTATGAGGATCCCCTCTCTCTTGTTCACTTATGTATGACATCTGCTATATGGTTTTCGGTGATGTTGAGCTCCCAGTGACCAGGGTTCATCAAGGATTACTGCCGTTTTTGACCTATGTGATGTGGGTCAACTTATGAGCTCCCAGTGACCAGGGTACATGGAGGAATACTGCTGTTTTTGACCTATGTGATGTGGGTCAACTTATGAGCTCACAGCGATCAGGGTTCATCGAGGATTACTGCCGTTTTTGACCTATGTGATGTGGGTCAACCTATGAGCTCCCAGCGACCAGGGTACATGGAGGAATACTGCCGTTTTTGACCTATGTGATGTGGGTCAACTTATGAGCTCCCAGTGACCAGGGTACATGGAGGAATACTGCCGTTTTTGACCTATGTGATGTGGGTCAACTTATGAGCTCCAGTGACCAGGGTTCATCAAGGATTACTGCCGTTTTTGACCTATGTGATGTGGGTCAACTTATGAGCTCCCAGCGACCAGGGTACATGAAGGAATATTGCCGTTTTTGACCTATGTGATGTGGGTAAACTTATGAGCTCCCAGCGACCAGGGTACATGGAGGAATACTGCCGTTTTTGACCTATGTGATGTGGGTAAACTTATGAGCTCCCAGCAACCAGGGTACATAGAGAATACTGCCGTTTTTGACCTATGTGATGTGGGTCAACTTATGAGCTCCCAGTGACTAGGGTACATGAGGAAATACTGCCGTTTTTGACCTATGTGATGTGGGTCAACTTATGAGCTCCCAGCGACCAGGGTTACATGGAAGAATAACTGCCGTTTTTGACCTATGTGATGTGGGTCAACTTATGAGCTCCCAGCGACCAGGGTACATGGAGGAATACTGCCGTTTTTGACCTATGTGATGTGGGTCAACTTATGAGCTCCCAGCGACGAGGGTACATGGAGGAATACTGCCGTTTTTGACCTATGTGATGTGGGTCAACTTATGAGCTCCCAGTGACCAGGGTACATGGAGGATTACTGCCATTTTTGACCTATGTGATGTGCAAGGGTGGACTGACCATTTGGAAACTTGGGCACTGCCCGAGGGCCCAGGGTCAGTAGGGGGCCCCATGAGATGCCCCTGGTACCTTTTTCATAGGCTTTTTGGAGTTTGGGCAAGGACACAGGGGCCCCATGATCTCCTATTGCCCGGGGGGCCCCATGAGTTGTCAGTCTGCCCCTGGTGATGTGGGTCAACTTATGAGCTCCCAGTGACCAGGGTACATGGAGGAATACTGCCATTTTTGACCTATGTGATATGGGTCAATTGATGAGGTGAGTGTGCATGCCTGGTGATGGTGGATATCACACAAGCACAGTAAAGGAGAAGAGTCACAGTTTTTTTGCTATTCACTTTGTGGACTGTTATCTTGCACTGTTTTGATGCTTTTTGATTTTTATCTTATATATTTATATAATTTTTTCCCACTGTTTATCATTGGTCCCATATTTTATATAACCTGTTTTTTGCGGTGTTTCTATATGTGGACCTCATTCACACGAGATATTTGAGTGGAATATACACTGGCACCGTTTATGCATCTATTGTTGATTGCTTGAGGATGTTATATATTTATACTTTATACCTTCATATGTATTGACATATTTGTTAGCGCAGCACTATTTCCCTAACAAAAAAAATATACTCATAATGAGTTGTCGTTAAATTGACAGGACTAATCTGTGTAATACATGAGTCTGTGGGAGCCAGAATTATTGTTGGTTGGTAGGGGATCAAATACTTATTTTACTCACTGAACTGCAACTCCATTATATAACATTTGTTTCATGTGTTGTTTCTGTATTTTTGGTTAATATTCTTTCTCTATCATGTAAAATACATCAATGATAAAAATTATGGACCCTTAATTTCTTTGGGATCATAATCTGCATGGGATCAAATCATTATTTTCCCCACTGTATATATATATAAATATATATTAGAGACCTTAGATTGTACACCCCTTGAGGGTTAGGGACTGGTGTAAATGTACAATATATATGTAAAGTGTTGCGTAAATTGTCGGCTCTACATAAGTACCTGAAATAAATAAATAAATAGAATAGAATGTAAATGGATAGAATAAAATATGTAGCGCTACCCCCTTGATGGCCGCTGTGCTTCTGTGTCCCCCTAAGCTTTGCACAGCCAGGCAACATGCATTTTCCACACTTGCATCCACAGTCAGTGCACAGACCATGAGCTTGATTTTTTACTATATATACTATATATATATATTTTTTTTTTAAATTTACTATACTTTTGTCAATGACAGTGGAGTTACAGTTTAAGGCCTCATACACATGGGTTTTTTTTTTGTTTTTGCCTGTATACATTAAAGCGGTAGCAAACCACAGAAAAAAAAAAAGTCCCCTGCAAGATAATGTTATAATGTGGTCCTATGCACAGCACACTAGCACATTATGTAGGACTAACATTTTAAAGTGAAGCCCTCCAGCGGCAAGCTGTCACCAACGCAGAGGCGTCTTCCTCTGGTATTCCTTCCTGGTTTGCGCGCTCTGGCCATCTAACAGGCCGGGCCTCGATGACGTCACTACCACGCATTTTTTTTCCTTTTGGGGAAAAAGTTTTTACATAAATAAATGCTCATCATTGTAAACATGTCTGTCGATATTAAATGGCTTGTCTCATCCGTGTAACTGGAAGAGAGCTTGTTCTTTTGAAAAACAACAGACTTACTAGCTGAAAGAAAGAGAGAGAGAGAGAAGGGGGGGGGGGGGGAAGAAGAAAAGGGAGAAGAGAGGAAAGAGAGAGAGAGAGAGAAAGAAAGAGAGACAGAAGAAAAAAGAGAGAGAAGAAAAAGAAAGTGAGAAGAAAGAAAGAGAGAAGAAAAGAAAGAAAGAACAAACGAAAGAAAGAAAAAGAAAGAGAGGGAAAGAAAGAAAGAAAGAAAGAAAAAGAAAGAAAGAAAGAAAGAAAGAAAGAAAGAAAGAGAGGGAAGAAAGAGAGAGAAGAAAGAAAGAGAAGAAAGTAAGAAAGAGGGGAAAAAAGAAAGAGAGGAAGAAAGAAAGAAAGAAAGAAAAAAGAAAAAGAAGAAAAGAAAGAAAGAAAGAAAGAAAGGGAAAAAAGAAAGAAAGAAAGAAAGAGAGGGAAGAAAGAAAGAAAGAGAGAGGGAAGAAAGAAAGAAAGGGAAGAAAGAAAGAAAGAGAGGGAAGGAAGAAAGAAAGAAAGAAAAAAAGGAAAGAAAGAAAGAGAAGAAAGAGAGAAGAAAGAAAGAAAAGAAAGAAAGCCTAATAAAGAAAACTAAGAACTGGTCAGCTGCAATGCAATGCTTTTGGGTTTCATACCGCTTTGAATGTTAGCATTTTCGGACACCCAGGAGGCATAGGTGCAGCATCCAGCCTCACTGCCAGCAGCCTGTCAAAATCTTGGAAAGGCTGAAATACAAGGTGGTTGGACGCTGTACAATACAATACGCACCTTTAGGGCTGTCTATGTCCCTGAATGCAGGTTCCACATGGTTTAGCATCCAGGCGCTTCCAGCCTCTGCGTATTTCATAGATCTTACCAGGATGATGGCAGTGGGGCTGGACACTGTATCTGTGCCTCTCAGGTGCCTGAAAACACCAGAATTTGAGGCACATGAACCAAATGGTGACCCCAGCAGTAAAACATCCGTCTCTTTCCTTTTCTCTCCTGCCGCTCTATTCTGCTGATGGAAGCAAAGTAAATACCGAATACTTCCAGGTATGCAAAGCAAGTGAATCACACAACCCCCCCACCCACATGATCACTGTGGTGCCGGTCTTTCTGGTACCCAGCGCTCCTACATGGGGAAAAAGAGGTGTCCTCATCCCCGTGTAAGCTCTAATGTGCAAATTGGTTCATTTCTTCTCCCCATAGAGACATTTTTTTCATCTCTGACCATTTAGGCATCCCAAAGGGCAATGATGATCTGCAAAGTGGCAAGGAAACAGATCAATGAAAGCTGAATTCTGATTGGCTGCTGTAGGCAAGAGTATCTAGCAAAAAATTCCACTTTTGTGTAAGTTACATTTAAAGGTGAACTCCAGGCAAACAGTTGAATACACATACAGTAGATGGGAGCTGTTTGATCTGTCAAAAGGATTTGTATTTCTGTCCATCCACTCCTGAGATTTACACAGCTCTGCCAGACAGCATAACCCTGTCTGGTAAGGCAGTGGATCTGGTTTTCCTCTGCTCCAGTTCATAAACACTTATAGGTCATTTCTTCCCACCCCCACCCTGTGACTGGATAGGGAGAGAACAGTGGAGTGAAGAGCTCATCTCTTTGTCCCCCTGCTCTCTCTGCCTCTCATGCTCCTTGCACTGCGGCATAGCCGACTGGCTCCTTGTGCTGCTTATCCATCTTCCAGTCTACACTATGACAAAAAAATTTGTTTCCTTTCAATTCATTATTTTATTGAGTTTTATTCATTTTCAGAATTTTGTTTTATTTCCTTTATTCAATTTCCAATTTGATTTAAATTTTCTGAATCCAAAACTCGAATTTATTCTATTCAAAATTTGAATATTTTTTTTATTCTATTTTTTTTTTCTATTTTTTTTTCTTTTATATTCTATTATTTTCTGTTCTATTGTAATCTTTTCTATTCTAATTCTATTCTATTTAAATGTATTCTATTCGAAATTCAAACTTCGGAAGATGGTTATATTTTTTCTATTTTTTATTGATTTTTTCTATTCTATTTTTTTTCTATTCTATTATTTTCTGTTCTATTGTAATCTTTTCTATTCTAATCTATTCTATTCAAATGTATTCTATTCGAAATTCAAACTTCGGAAGATGGTTATATTCTTTCTATTTTTTATTGATTTTTTTCTATTCTTTTTTTTTTTCTATTCTATTATTTTCTGTTCTATTGTAATCTTTTCTATTCTATTCTAATCAATTCAAATTTATTCTATTCGAAATTTGAATTTTGAAAGACAGTTATATTCTTTTTTATTTTTTTTTTTTTTTTCTATTCTATTCTTTTATATTTTTTATTTTCTGTTCTATTGTATTCTTTTCTATTTTAATCTATTCTATTCAAATTTTTTCTATTCGAAATTCAAATTTTGGAAGATGGTTATATTTTTTCTGTTCTATTCTGTTGTTTTTTCTAATCTATTATTTTCTTTTTATTCTATTCTCTTCTATTTTTAGTCTTTTCTGTTTTATTCTGTTCTTTTCAAAATTCAAATTTTAGAAGGCAGCTATATTTTTTTTTCTATTCTATTTCGGTTTTATTCTTTTCTATTTCATTTGATTCTATTCTTTCCTAGTCCATTTCTTTTTTACCCTATTCATTTTTTTTTTTTTTTTTCTATTTCATTCTATTTTTTTTTTTTCTCTTCTGTTTATTTTCTCTTCTGTTGTTTCCTTTTTTTCTATTGTATTTTTTTTTTTTATTTTCTCTTCTGTTCTGTTTTACTCTATTCTTTTACTATTCTATTGTATTCTTTATTATTTTTTCTTTTCTTTTGTATTCTTTTTTTTTTTTTATGTTATTTCTTTATTTTTATATATTATTTTATTCTATTCTTGTTCATTTTCAAATTTGAATTCAATTTAATTTCGAGTTCGATTCCAGTTTCGTCCAAAATTTTGTTTTGTTATTTTGGATTCATTTAAATTTGTTACTTTTGTCATGCGAAAATTCAGATATATCCGAATTGATTTTGACAAAATGAACCGCACGTCTACTCTGCTGTACAAGGACTGCAAGAGGCTGATCCCAAATTCAGTTACTGACGCTGCTTACATAAACAAAAAAAAATAAAAATGTAAGGATCAGGGGCGGACTGACAACTCATGGGGCCCCCGGGCAATAGGGGATCATGGGGCCCCTGTGTCCTTGTCCAAACTCCAAAAAGCCTATGAAAACGGTACCAGGGGCATCTCATGGAGCCCCATACTGACCCCGGGCCCTCGGGCAGTGCCTGACTTTCCAAATGGTCAGTCCGCCCCTGGTAGGGATGTAGGATGTACTCATGAAAACAGAGGTTGTGTCTTTTCTGTCTGCCTGGAGTTCAGCTCTAATGCTTCCTCATACATCACCTCGGGTGCTTTCATTTTGAAAGAAAAGGAAACTTGTATCATCCTGTCATATTATGATGTTTTATTAGCTACCAGGTATAGAATATCATTTAGGGCAAATTTCTTTCCGGATTTCCGTGTTCGACTCTTTTTTATT